CCCCAAAACCCCAAAACCCCAAAACCCCATCAAAGTGAATAATTGAAAGTTGTGAATGAATTGAATTAACTTGCAAGCAGTAATCTTGAATAGTTATTTTACAGAGAGATATTTCTCAACATTATTGTTTTTAAGTTGATCGAAGATAATATTTTCAACTCTATTGTTATCCGAAAAGTGGCCATAGGAAGCATGAAACATTTGATTCCTCTAAAATAGTTTGAATAGTGAATTTTTACTGTTTTCGAATATGATGTGAGTGTTTTGGTACTGTCTTTAGTCTCTCATCTTCTCGCTCATTATCTCGAAGAACTAATCAAATGTGATCCCTCTTTCTCTTATTCCCTTAACTTAGATATTCTACTATTTAGGATTACTGCATCCACACATAATAGACTGGCAATCAATACTTTTATTTTCCATTTTTACTTTGAATTAGATTAAGACTAAATATTGGCTTACCTTTTTGCTATTGATGGTACTATTAATTGTTATGGTGTTTATTTTGCTGATTTTACTCATTGGCATCCTCAGCCTGCTGCTACTAGTAATTTTGAATATTTCTTCCAGAAAACACACCTTCATTGTAGTCTTACTTATAATCACTATCTCTCATTTAATTAGCAATACGTTCGCTATCCTTTGGGAAGCGGGATAGATCGGTCTTATTAAAGAAAGGGAATTTTTGAAGCTTGCTGAGTTTCACTTCATTTGGTCGATCGTTCTCATCTCTAAGGTTTTCGAATACTTATCTGATATTCATCACATCCTACTAGCTGATACCCTCGCTAGAAAAAGATTATAAGAAATTTATTCTACCTAATATAAGGACTATGATCGAATTAGGTAAGATCAGTTGAAGGCGATTAATTGAGTGAATTCTGTTGATTATGTGATTATGCTGATGAAGTCTCAGTATTTCCCATTTAAACTTCTGATTAATTATAATAATCTAACGAGCATTTCATAGTATAGTAATTATTAAAATTTGTATATTGACATTTCGAAATAGTCTTAAGGAAATTAAATACTAATTATCACTCTATAAATTCAATCATCACAAAATTTGCTGGTTATAAATAGTTATTCAGTACCAATGTCTCATTCTTGAGACTTAGATTCCTCTATGTCTTTCAACTTAATATTGTTTTTTAATACCTCAAGTCCAGGTATTGAATCATTCCAGTCATATTTATTCAAGCACCTTAGGAAATTCTCTCTGCTTTTATTGTATGCCTACCATTCTTCGTCTGTAATTGTCTCTTTGACACCCTCTACTTACTGTGGAGTTAGATTTTGCATTGCCTTCTTGCCTCTCTTAATTTCAGGCATTGATTTCATATGCTTAAGTTATTTCTACTGTACTTTCTCTTGGCGCTTGTTTTAGTTCTTGTCTGGTTAATCAAACTAAGCCAAAAATTAGTTCTTAATCTAACCCTCTTTAGTACGCTTGCGGTTGCATTAAGCGCATGTGCATATCTCAAGACAGTAAGGACATACCCATATTTCAATATCTATAAAGATAATATAAAAAATCAATAAATTGAATTAAAAGTGTATACTTACTTTTAATCATTGAGGTCCATGAGTCTTTATTATACTTTTGAAGGCATTCATTACAGAATCTCTTTGAGCAAGGCTCTATCTTCTTCTTTAGACTTCCTGGTTTCTTCATGTTTATATCAATAAGTGGTCCTTTGCATATATTTTCTTCATTGACTGGAATCATTGTTTTGCATCTATGACAAGAAGAATCTGAAAGTGTGATCTTTTAGCCCACTTTTGAAAAATCAATAGTCTTCTTTCTTGTTGTCTAGCTGATAGGAGTGTACATATTTGCGGCTTTTTTGACTCTCTTAACAATCTCAGGTGATAACTACTCCTAATCCATTACAATAGTAATACAATTTTTGATTTTATTATAACTATTATTGCTTTATTTTATCATATTTTAGCTTACGGGGTTTTGGGGTTTTGGGGTTTTGGGG